TATAAAGAATGGAGAATTCATTTCAGTTACAGCACAAATCATTAATTTATTCTCTACATGAGAAATCTACTTGAAAATTACCCACCAGGAATTTCAACAATTCTTTTATAGAGTGAGAGGAATACGGTTTCCGCCGCCTTGCTTCGTTTTGTAAGTGAATCAATCTAGTAGATTGATAAATTATGTTAACTACAGTCAAATTTCTATAAACAGACACCTCTCTTAAGCAGACAACCCTTTTATTAAGTGGACACAATACCTCTCCTTGGAAATTCTTCAGTAAGGGAGCCACTTGTTTGCGAACATTCTATCAAAAGGTCAGACATGTCAAAATTGAACATTCTGATAGAGTGATAGTGATGCTATTGATTATATTGATAACCATGTTAACACAGATAATGGTGGCAATGATGTCAATTATATTGATGACATTCATTATACTTATGCAATTGATTATAATGATTACATTCAAGATGATCATTGTAATACTGGTGATGATAATAATATTGATTGTATGGATGATATTGAGTACATTGATGACAGTGATTACATTAAGATAATTAATTATAATTAATTATAAAAAATTATAATTAATGAATTATGCTGATGGCATTGATTATATTGATTGTATCGATTATACTAAGTATATTGATTATATTGATGACATTTAAACATTGGTTATATTGATGACATTGATTATTGACATTGATTATATTGATTATATTTATTATATAATGACACTGTTTATATTGATGACATTTATTGTATTGATTATACTAAGTATATTGATTATATTTAATCTCATTAATTATATTGATGACATTTAAACATTGATTATATTGATGACATTGATTATATTCATGACATTGATTATATTGATGACATTGATTATATTAATGCCACTGATTGTATTGATGGCACTGATTGTATTGATGATACTGATTGTATTGATGACATTGATTATATTGATGACATTGATTATATTAATGTCAATGATTGTATTGATGACACCGATTGTATTGATGACACTGATTGTATTGATGATACTGATTGTATTGATGATACTGATTGTATTGATGACACTGATTATATTGATGACATTGACTATATTGATGATGAAATTGATTACAATGGTGAAATTGATTATAATAGCCATATTAATGACAATGATTATATTGATAATTGATAAAAATGGTGGTAATGAAAGATCTCTAATGTCAAAAAATGGTGATTCTAAATTCTATAAAAAGTGAACCTACATCCGGTGTAGATTTCTTGAATTCTTTACTTAGTTCAACCAATCTTTTACGAGACGTGTCAGATTCATCTTGTCTGTTTGCTAACTCTGTCGCCTCACCATCCAATGATTTCTAAATATGAGAATAAATCAAACATTAACCCATTTAGTTGCAATTATTAAACTTTACAGTCTGTCAAATTGACCAGACTGCAGAGTACGGCAAGTGCACACCCGAGATTTTTTTTGGCCAATGGTATTGCACACTTAAACATATTTCAAATATTTTCCAGTTTTGTCAGGCATTAAAATAAGGACTTCTAAGACAAGTGTAATATAACAACCACCTGAAAATCGGGAACGCTGATTGATGGGCACAAATGAAAAATGTCCATTAAAGTTTTGAATTTCTACAGCAGAGTTTTGCGATCATCAGGTTGTTATGATTAAACAAAACCGTATAGCATGTAAGCATGGGCACAAGAGAACTTTTAATTGGTCCGATTTCCTCGAGGCGCCACCATGGTTGGCGCCGAGCGGAAAATTTTTGAAATTTGGAGTCCCTACATTGTCGGAAATGGCATTTTCGAGTGTACACTTTTCCATTTGCAACTCAATTACAAGGACATGCACATTTTCCTTTTACAGGACACAAAGTGTGTCAAAAACACGTTATTTTGTACGTGTTCATAATGACTTTTAACTCCGATCGAAATATATATTCTTGTTTGTTCTTCAGAATTTGGACCACGTTTTATTTTCCTGAGAGGCAGAAATTTTAGTTATTTGTACAAATAAACAATCATTGTTTAATATCATTAAAACATGTAGCTATTTACAAGTGCACACTTGACTACGTTAACTGAGGATTGCACACTTGCACACCTGAATTTTTGTCTTGCACACCCGAGATCTCGTCGAAAACTGCCATACTCTGCAGTCTGGCAAATTGAGATTTACAAACGAGTCAAATGACTATGTTTTCCATAATTTTCATTCATAAAGCTATAAAAACGTTTGCCTGCCATAAAAAGTAAATAACACAAGAGGTCTATTCTATTTTAATAATTTTATTATTAACAAAAACATCAAATTGATTATCCATCAAATATTATTAAACCACTGATATTTGCTAGTATTTGCTACACCATTCCAAACACTACCAGACTTAAAATGATTAAATTATTTTACCACACACACAGAGTGTTTAAAATGCAAGCCAATATTCAAACCTGCAGCGATATCAGATCAAAATTCTTCCAAAATTCTCGCGTAGAACTGATTGATGTCGACGTTGCAGTCGCCATCTTTGTTTTGATCTACGGAACGGGGGGAGGGGGATGATGTGCTTCGAGAATAACAGGGGGGAGTAATGTTACAAGCACCTGAAAAAAATTTGTAAGTATATTGAGATCAGTGACAAATACTTGAAATACCACTCAATTCAAACACTCCAAAATTGTTTTTTCCAAACTCCAAGTTATTCCAAACTAAAATTGGTTTATATAGAATACAAGTGAAGTTATATTTAAAACATTTTAAGACTTGAAGTAGGCTTTACAGTAAAAGTAAAAAGAATTGTAATTT